AAAAGAACCAAACGTGTGGGTCCTTACTGCAGACTGTATAATTATACGTTTCTGCACCTCTGGATTTCTCAGCGTTATAGAAAGGAAACGAAGGAAATGAAGCATTGACCTGCAGTAAACCTCAGCGTGCGTTAGAATGGCGTTGACTTTGCATCTGGCATCTAAACGCAGACTCCTTGTTTGTTCAACCGAGGGTGTTGTGATAACCATCCAGTAGCAAGGGGTCTTCGACAGTGACGAAACATTATTTTGATGAAGATCATTCGACCAGTCAGATAGTCTTAGACCTTCTAAAAAACTAAACATAAGAAATGGGTGCAGCTTAATCGATTCTGCAATGGTAAGGTGAACAGCCATTGGCGATGGGGAATGCGAAAAAGCCCGATCTAAGTGAGTGGTCAACAGTGTCAATATTCGTGTCTAATACCTGGAAGCAATTTTAAAATGACTTCGCTGGACGAAGGTCAACAGGCAAAAAAACTAGATCTTGCTAACAGCAACGCTGAACTCACAACTGTTAATCAGTTTGCTATTATTATTTTACATGAATTCTGTTTGACAAATTTTTAGTCCAAAAACATCATTCACCCCTATGGATATGAACTGTTAACCCCTCTTAACGAAAACACCTGCATCGCAGTCTTTCAATCAATCAATCAATCTAGTTTATAAATTTGAGTAATGGTTACTATTGTCAGAATAAAATGATCTTCATACAGATATAAACAAAACATTAATGATAAAATGACAGCAACACTACCTGGCCACCAAGTTCGCGCATTTGACGGCTACCAGCAGCGTAATTTGACTTACCACATACAAAGAATCGTTTATTGCAGGAAGAAGAACCATTTTTCGAACCGATTAGGGAAATGAAAGAAAAGTTTATCACCAGTGGAATGTCGGTCTTCCTTCACGCCCATGAATGGACCATTAACGCATTCTTTTAATGACGCTCATAAAGTGCTTATCTCAGTTTCTATGATATCAGACAGAAGTGCCTTATTTCTTTTAAAGGAAGAATCTATAGCCATGTGATAAGCATAAGGTGTAGTCTTCTATCTCCTTCTCACAGAGTGGAAACCGTTTATCCATCTCAGAAGGAAGAAAGGCGAGTGCCCCTGATCACAGCTTGGACTCGGGACCTATCGGTTGTGAGATCGACGCTCCACTGACTGAGCAACCTCGGTCTGAAACAGTGTTCGAAATTCCTTGTTCAATGAAATTCGTGAATAAGACAGAGATTTCCTTAGAACGGAACCGAACCCGGCACCACCAGAGTTTGAAACAGGCCTCTGAATCCATCTGTCAACATTCCAAATGCGAAATGATCAGGACCTAACGGAAGAAGCATTGAAGTACAAAGTTTGAGGCTGTTTCTTCCGGTAGAAAGAATTTAGCTACGGTGGCTGGTGTGAATACTTTCTAGCCGCCACTCACATAGCTGCTCTACTATTTCAAAGGAGCTTATGTAGGCATGCTCAATTCACTACAGATGACTTGCGAAAGTGAAGTGAAATTTTACTGATTCAACAAGGTTACCCAAGTATCTTGCCTGTTCATCACCGATCAAAGAAAATACATATACTTTTAACTTAAGCAGTAAACATAAACGACAATGAGAAAAAAACAGACAAATGAAAGTACGACCAAGACGGCTATAGCCGATTTACTCCGCAACAGCATCAAGGCAAAAGAACCATAACTGTTATGAGTTTAAATCACTATTGTCAGCTCGAACCCATATCTGCACTATCGACACGTTTGCGCTAACACAGTAACACACATACAGAATGCACCTGATCAAAAGACGGGACATATATGTATCAGACGTATGAAGCAGAAACTACGGCATGCATTTGAATCACCTGATATAAAAACGCTTGCGAAGGCCGTGGTATAATCGATTTAAACGATTTACCTGTGTTCGATACCGTGAAATAAAATTTTGCCAAAACCTCAAACAGTAAAATAACTTGCGGTGCTATGCATCACGATCAAAGTTCAACAGGGAATCCAGGCAACATCAGGATCTTCAAATGAACGTTCGATTTCAGGAAGTGTTAAGATATTATGTCAACTACATTAAAATCTGAACACTTTTACAAGTCATATTACTTTTATCGCCGCTACACAGTCAATCGGCCAAGGACAACCAATCACGTGTTGACCGTAACAAGAGGGCACAATGTAACGTGACCACATGAGCGACAGAATTGTGTACTGTAATCGAAGTTTGTTGATCATTAGGTAGTTATAACATAGTGCCAAACTTGGCGACAGGATATCATGAACAAATTTACGATGTTCTTATTTGCTACTAGTGCTATAAAACGCATAAGTTCTTAACAGGATTTATCGACACTTGCAGTCGACCCTTATTTTTGTCAGTGGAGTACACCCCTGAAGTAGTCGCTATTATCAGAGACTGAGAGACCTTGCGTTGAACCGCATCTAACACCCTAATTATATTATCCGCATTATTTAGCGTCACAGTTTGGCGATTCTATGTGCATCCGCGCCATAAAATCGAGACTATAGTGTATTATTCTGGCTGTGTATAGTAATCAAAAATTTCCTTGGATGCCTCCTTTCATCTGGAGGTGAAAGCCCTTAATGAATGCACGGCAAAATTCCGACCACTGTTCTATGTCCGATTCGTTGATGACATTTTCCTATTTTTCCAACCAAATTGAAAAAGTAAGAATGTTTTGTAAATTGCATTAATGGACAAGTCAAAACTGGTTGAATACGTTTTGCTGCTGAAGTGGAAGTTATATGTATATGTCTATATTCTTACTTGACCATGCTGATGAAGAGGGCTGCACCTTTTGAATTTTAGGCTTCCTAATGTCGGAAGCCAATTGATTCCAATCGATAATTAAACGCGGCATCGTATCCGTCCTAGATTTCTTAGGAACGTGAAAAAATGCGTTTGAGACCGAGACCTGCACTAACACTTTGTTCCTAAACGCAGAAATTCAATACTCTCGCCAAACGTTTATGAAGAATGGTTGCCGATTGAAGATCCTTAGCGAAGAAATTTCTCATACCAGTTCAAACTTAACAATGGCAGTTGATGTAGACAAATGAAAATTTGGCCCTTCATTCCTCATGTATCTCAACGTATCAGAAACTACCTTAATGACATTGCGTTTAAGTTCTACTACAAGACTGGTAGAACATTAGACAACACTCTATGTAAAAAGTACTTTCCGACTAATAACTTGAAAGTTATACTAAACGATGTATACAAAGTTCAATACGGAGACAACGAGAATCTCTCCATTGGAAAAACCAACCAGAAACTGAACATTCTGATAAAAGAGTACCT